ACCATTTGGGTCGAAAGGGGTTCAAATCCCTGAAAGTGGGGGCCACTACTGGTTTGCATGGTGTTTTTTACAGTAAGTCGTTAACTACTATGGTTTGCATGGTATTTAAAATGGATAACTCACAAAATAGTACAAGGGGGACCCTTTGGGTCGGCAGGGTTCGAATCCCTGAGGGAGGGGGGCGCTACTGGTTTGCATGGTATTTTTTCCAGTAAGTCGTTAACTACTATATTAACAAAGTTGAACATGCGGCCCGTTTTTTACTTTTAGTTATTTAGCTTTCATACCAATTGAGACCGTGGCTATACCAGTTATTTAACTTTCATGCCTATTTCATATACTTCACATGCAGAAAACATATGAATTTTTTTTTAATGATAATAAATTGTCAAAAGTTGATCAGATCTGTTCATTTATTGATATGATGTAATATAATTTATTGCAGCAAATTTCATCTTAAAGTGCATTCAGGAAATCGTATTTCAGCGAAAATTGAAAAGGAGGGGAATATTGAAAACCTTAAGGAGAGGAAAGATTAATCGTTTATTGAACGAAATAAAAACTGTTGTAAACAAAAGCAGACGGTTGCTGTTTTTGGATCCAGCTTTTGGCAAATAGTTCAGCTGAGTTTTTTATTCTTAAAAAAAATTTTCTGGCTGATTTTGACAGTGCTTTTTTTTGTTATTTTTTTAAATTAAACAAAAAAAAACTATTTTGTTTAGTAGTCTCGCCGAAGAATTTTGTCTTACCTTTCTAATTGCAGTAAATTTAACTTCCTTTCCCAGTGTTTTCCGCAGGAGAAAAGCATTATATTTTAAGTTGAACAGCCATATTTTTCCACTAGGGAAAGGACCAACTGATTAAGAATACATATTCAAGTTTTTGGATTTTATTTTTTGGGCTGGGTAAAATTTCCTCGCTTTTGCTAGTAACGAGGACGGATCATGATGGGCCTCGAACCACTGACTGTTTGACTGGCGGATTTCCAACAAAAAGTTGAAAATTTTGTCGACCTTTTTTTTAGGTCGACCGAATTGATTTTCTGAGCTCTCCCAAATAAAGACCCTAAATTGACACCAAATTTTTGAAAAAAGGCCAAAAAAGACGTTTTAGGCACTTTTGGAAATTTTCGACCAAAAAATCGCGTTTTTTTGACGCGCGCTCCCCCTCAAAATTAGTATAGATTGGCGCCTAAGGCGCCTCTAGAAAAATTTGAAGGTCAGTCAGCCAAAAATGGATAACTCAAAATAGTACAAAGGGCCCTTTGGGTCGGCAGGGGGTCGAATCCTTAAAAATAGGGGCCCCTACTGGTTTGCATGTTGTTTTTTACAGTAAGTCGTTAACTACTATGGTTTGCAGGGTATTTAACATGGATAACTCAAAATAGTACAAAGGGGGACCCTTCGGGTCGGCAGGTGGTCAAATCCCTGAAAGTGGGGGCCACTACTGGTTTGCATGGTGTTTTTTCCAGTAAGTCGTCAACTACTATGGTTTGCATGGTATTTAAAATGGATAACTCAAAATAGTACAAAGGGAGACCCTTTGGGTCGTCAGGGGGTCGATCCCCTGAAAGTGGGGGCCGCTACTGGTTTGCATGGTGTTTTATCCAGAAAGTCGTTAACTACTATGGTTTGCATGGTATTTAAAACAGATAACTCAAAATGGTACAAATGGGGACCCTTTGGGTCGACAGGGGTTCAAATCCCTGAAAATGGGGGCCGCTACTGGTTTGCATGGTGTTTTTTCCAGTAAGTCGTTAACTACTATGGTTTGCATGGTATTTAAAATGGATAACTCACAAAATAGTACAAAGGGGGACCCTTTGGGTCGGCAGGGTTCGAATACCTGAGGGAGGGGGGCGCTACTGGTTTGCATGGTATTTTTTCCAGTAAGTCGTTAACTACTATATTAACAAAGTTGAACATGCGGCCCGTTTTTTACTTTTAGTTATTTAGCTTTCATACCAATTGAGACCGTGGCTATACCAGTTATTTAACTTTCATACCCTTTTTATATACTTCACATGCAGAAAACATATGAAATTTTTTTTAATGATAATAAATTGTCAAAAGTTGATCAGATCTGTTCATTTATTGATATGATTTAATATAATTTATTGCAGCAAATTTCATCTTAAAGTGCATTCAGGAAATCGTATTTCAGCGAAAATTGAAAAGGAGGGGAATATTGAAAACCTTAAGGAGAGGAAAGATTAATCGTTTATTGAACGAAATAAAAACTGTTGTAAACAAAAGCAGACGGTTGCTGTGCAAGAAGCACGAAGATCTGATTACATTAATAAAAAACACTAACCAAAAATCAAGTCCTTTTTTTCACAAACTTGTGTCAATTTTTGTGCTAGCAATAAGCGGATTAAAACGAAAATTTATAGCATTAATAAGGTAATCTTATATGATAAATTTTCTTCAAACAACTGTCTAGCCTACGTAGCCAGAAACAAAATATTTGGCAGTAGCCGCATTTTTTTAGTGATGAACAATGAGGTCGAAATATTCAGTGCTTGTTGTTTATTAACGGATACTCAATTTCATTTGATATTGGGTTAAACTTGACATATAACAATGATTTCCGATTTACAAACCAAGAGGGAATACTCGAAAAAAAACTACAGCCGCTCTTAAGTAGCCAGATGTTTTAAGTCATTTTGACGAAACTAAATTAAAAAAATTGAACCGAAAATAATTATCTGGACAGACCAACTGTCTACATTTCAATCATTTTAGCGCTAATAAAGATATTATTATTTGCTCGTTTTTTCAAACCATGAAAAGTTCGTGAGAATTTAACCCCCTACACTTAACAAAAATTACAAAAAAATTGATTTTCTATTGAAGTTAATTTTTCTGTTTCGATTTTTTGTATAAATTCAATTTTTTGATGTCATATGTAAGCATCTTACAAAAACTTTTGATGTCCTAGGTTTACTTCAGTTATTTAGAAAAAAAACTTTGCTGTTTTTCTATCGTGCTTGGCTCAGAACATGGTTTAGAGCATAAATGAGCAACTGTCTTGGTAAGCTGGTTTTGGATGAGCAATCAAAGACGACTCCTGGTATCAGGGCAAAGCCCTGGCTCCGACATCCTTTTTCAAATCGCATATTTTATTGTTTTATCGCCTTGAGCTTCATAATCAAAACATAGCCAACCGACAGTAGAAAAACTATCAATGCACACGAGGGAACCGAAAAACGATATATCATATAAAAGCTCTTTGAATTTCAAGAATATTGGCTGATTGACCTTATTCATAAAATTAATTCAATTTGAAAAAATGGATCAGTAGATGTTTCTTTAATTCCGCTGGGAAATTTGAAAAGTGAAATCCATGCTTGAAGTCAATAGGTTCAAGTTTTTTCGCGCTATTTTTCAAAAAAAAAAGTTCATACTATTACACAAGCTGTGCTTGTGTAATTAAACCTTATTGTAATATTCAAATAGCATTTTTCAAATCTGCTATTTTTAAAATCTTAATATAATTAAACCGCGGAAGTCAATATCTTCATTCGGATATAAAAACAATTCCTTTTGAAAACTATATTATTGCGAAATCGGCCAATAAAACTACCCCGGACATAAATGCTTCGCTACTTTCTTTGAAAAAAAACAGCAACGATACATACTTTGCTTCAAAAAAATCAAGAATGACTTCTACTTCTCTGAACAATGATGTCAAATCACAAGCTAAGAAAAAAATAACTTTCTATGCAAGTGTAATAATTTTCTATGCAAAACCAAAAAAAAAAGTTTCTGAAACTTTCTGCAATAAAAACTCCTCTTTTCCCCACCATTGAATTTCAATTTCCGAAAAATAATCAGCATTTTTATAAAGCTTCAAAACGTTGTGCACAGATTTCTTCTTCATACTTAACAGTAACATCACGCACTTCACAAAACAACTATGGAATTACACAACTTTATCTGGTGGGAGTAAAAATTTGTCTTTAAATTTGACGGTGGATATCCAAGTTTGAAAAACTCTTCGTCAGAATATTAATACATTTCGTATTAAAAATTTATATAGAAAAAAAAACAATCTGAGAACAAATTCAATCCTTCGAACTAAGCAACTTAAGCAAAATAATAAATTCCCCGAGTTTTTCTTATTTCAAAATTTTACAACTTGACTTCTTCCTTGTTTTATGTTCCAAAGCTTGCCTGAATATAATAGATTTGAGTCGGAAGCTTAGGACAAAAAAAAACATTTTTGGTAAAAAGCATGCAAAAACTGTTCTAAATCGTCAAGTTTGGCCTTTTATCGACAATTCGCATGTGGCTGAATATAGGGTCTTTTATGGTTTTGGGAGAGCTTAGAAAATTCATTTGGTCGCCATAAAAACATAGGTCTACTAAATTTCAATCATAACAGGACTTTTTTGATCTCATGTGCCTAATTTCCTATAGAGAAATGTAAATTATTCGTTATCAATTTTTACAATTTTACAACCAGTACGGAAAGAAAAAAGGTGTACCATCGAACCCTCTGTCCTTTTTTCTGTACTTCTTGTGTAGCATCCTTTGCAACATTGTTTCTACTAAATGCAAAGCCACAATATTCACTAGAAATCAAATGTTCACTCTTAATCTCGACCCAACCCATCCAATACATCTCGATTAGGTGCTGAAGAGTAGCGGCTAATCTCTCTTCATCCCTCTGCCTCTCCTGTAAATTACTTTCAGAACAGCCACACAATGAGTTGTTTCCCATCATTTTCCCTAACAATTTTAACAAACCACATGATAACATACAAGCTCGGCCATTGTAACGACATTGCATTTTAACTGTCCTGGTTCAGAGTTTTATTTACTGACAACCAGCTGAGCATATTATATTCCAATTTTGATCAAATTTTAACGTTTTCCCCTCACTTTGATATTGGCTTGGCACTAAATACTTTGTTGTGGCCAGCTATATTTCATTGACAACATAACTCATAATACTCAATTGGTTATTCAGACATGATGCAAAATGATATGGTAAGTTGCTATTTCCAATTAACTTATTATTTCGAAGTGCGTTTTAAAAAACCTAACCAGTAAATAACGGCACTAGTAATTTATATTGCTGGCATCAATACTTGGGTCGCTCATAATCAACCAATTACAAATAAGAACATTACAAATTGATTAAATCTAACAAAATTACAAACATTTTTTCCCAATTTACAAAAAGTTTCACGTAAAGTTAAAAGCAATTTTTCTCTCAGGTAAAGCCAGTTTTGATCTGCAATTAGTCATCGAAAAAGTCGTCAATATCGTCAACAATTAAATCATCAGTCTCTTGTTTATTAATATCTAGTCTACTTTCATATTTTTCACTTTCTTCTTTTAGTTCTGTTTTCGAATTAACTTCTTGAACACGTGGGCTGTCATCATCAACTTGTTCGTCTTTTTCTGGTTGACTTGATCGACCATTTTCAACGTTTCCGTTCACGTGATGATCGTTAATGCTCGTTTGATTGTCATTCGATTGTTTTAGATCGTCGGTTTGCTCGCTTCTTTTTTGTTCATTTTCGTTTTCTTCTTCGCTGTCTAAATCCCACTCGCATTCTACTTTCTCTTCAACGTCGAAATTGACCTAAATTAATTTTTGAAGTATTGCCTTGCATTTTGACATCATTCAGGTTAGATTTTCAGCCTACTTTAGAGCATTGATCATAAGCAGACCCATTAACACACCATTTTAAAATGCAATTTTTTAGGTTTAAGCAAAAAATCAAAGATTGGCTGATTTAGTGAAACTGATTTATACCACAAATCTTGGATTAATGTTGTAACAAAAATGATACAACAGCAATCTTTTACACAATTTTGGACTTCGTTTTTGTTCTTTCACAACGCAAACAGGAAATTGAAGAGGTCGACAAACGACTTATAATAAAAAAAATTTGACGCAGAAGCGAAGACAAGCAAGAAAGCGGCAAAAAGAAGATTCAAAATGCACAAAAACACAAATTTGCAGGCAAAAATTAGAAATGCAATAAATTTAAGCCAACCACACAAAATTTGCGGATACAACACTTGCTTTAAAATTTCCAATGCTAAAATGCTATGCAACAAAAGTTCAAACAATTCATTGAGCTAGAAATTATTTTATAAACTTGCTTGTTGTTCCTGGTCTGTTTTGAAAAAAATTTTACCAACTCGTAAGACGACAAAAAATGTAAAATGTCCAACTTCTTTGTCGTAAACATAGTCCGGATGTCCGGGTAGTATCTTGTTCCTATCAAATGTCTCTTCCATCGCCAGCTTCTTCTTCCGCAGTTCCTCGTCATCCAACTTGTTCAGGTCTTCTTCTCCATCTACATTGTGGTCCATATCCCATCGTACTAACACTGCCTCCTGCGAGAGTCCCTTGAGGTGACCTGTAGAAAGTGTACAACGTTCAGAGATTAATTAAAAAGAATCTGTGCCAATTTCCAACAAATTTTGCTAACAGCTTTAAATTTTCAGGTTAATTAGACTTCAACTCTGTCCGAAAAATCAATACAAAATTCTTAGATGACCTAATTGTAAATATAACACCCTCAAGTTAAGGCTCAGCAGCGATCATTCATTCACATGGCAAAGTGCCATTTAATTAGTAAAAGAGAACCACTGCTAATCAATTGATCAAAACATCTTCTTAAAAAGCCAGCAGAAAGGGTTCACTTTTCGATAGCCACACAGAGAAAAAAAACTACATGATGATTATCAAATGTCTTCCAATCGAGGCTATTTTCATTTTCTTACAATGGCTTAAACTCTCAACATCCTACCTTGTATGAGCGTGAGCATTTTTTCTAGTTTGTAATTGGTCAACAACTGCAAATGTTTCGGGTGTTTCTTCCTCAGCTTCTCCCCCACCCCTTTCACGTCACAGTCCTTCGTGATCAAATCTCTCAGAGGCATCTTTCGTTTCCTTACTCTGTGTCCTTTACTGCTACTATTTGTATTGTTACTCGCAACATTCGCTCCATCTGAGTCCCCGTTAATAAGCGGGGTGGGCGACTGGTTCCGATCATCATCATGGACAGGTTTATCCTCGTAGAAAATTATGATGGCCGGTGGGTCATAGCTGACACCGTACTTGATTAAAGTAAGGCCCTCAATTTCGAAATCTGAAAAAGAAAGCATACCTTCGCTATTGAACATAAAAATTAAATTGGTGCAGATTTTTGATTTATTATTAAAAAAAAACTCGAGACACATGCAGAAAATAATTTACCAAAAAAATTGATGAAGTTCATTTTTTTGAATTTTCTGAGAAAAACTAAATAACTCTCGAGATATTTTTAGGCAAGAGAATCTCTACCGGCCCCAAAAAACTTAAAGGGGACGAATGAGAGGTAATTTGTACTCTTCCGTTAGCCTATACTGTCCCTTCAGATCAGCTAACAAATCAGGGAAGCATTTCACTTCAACCTTGTCAGATCCAGGTATTTTTAGACACTTCCAATCCAATTCAAAGGAAATGCCAATTTCAATTCGCTCCAAAACAGTCGAGTTCTCGCATTAAAACTGTTAGAAAATCACGCAAAAATTCTACTTCTAATCACCATTTTAAAACACTAATCAACCAAATAATGAATTTGATACTTTGCTTGAATGGATGGAATTCGTCCCATATGAGATTTTTTTGCAATAATTACCAATTCAATTTATCTTCCCTACTGACCATTACCGTGGATAACGGAGATCTCAGTTGGTCGCAAATGGTTTTTTGACATAACCTATTAACCGGAAAGGCCCTCCCATTACTTGCTTTTCTCGTCAAATCCTTCCAATGCTTATCTCAAAAAAGTTGTTAAAAGCTACGTAAGAGTTGAGATTATCGCCGGATTTGCTTAATACATCCTGCGTTAGATATGCCAATTGATTATTTATTCTACGATAGAAAGAACCATCAAAAATATGCGCTAACATTTTTTTGCTTTTCAAAAGCGATAATTCTTTTGCAGTTTGTGATTTAGACAAACTAGTCGATCTCCTTGTCATTCATTCAGTGTAAAACTAATAACTACCCAGTCATTCATAAGCAGACACTGTCTGTCTTAAATTATTTAATTCATATCTTCTGACCTGAAAATATCAATTGTATTGCTCAAATGAAAATGGTCAGATTTGCAAACCAAAATATTGGCAAGAAAACAGCGAAACGGAAACAAAAGGTAAGCTTTTTGAGATAAGCTTTTTTTGCTCTTCTCCCAAGCCTCGTAACAATAATTTTGAGCATTTTTTGAAATGCATCATCAGCATGTAAAAATTAAATTACAGCATCGGTTAATCGAAATCGCGTGATCGAATTCTATCAAGGTCAAGCTAAGGTTAACCCAAGGTCGAGCTAAGGTTGCTTTAACTATTTTGTAGATCAAGCCAGCCAAAGAATAGATACTTTAGTTTGATTAACCTAAAACAGTTAGTTCAAACCTAAAACATCAGAAGTTGTCTATAATCTTTTGTAATTCGGCCAGTTACTCTAAAAACATATCAGCTTAAGTAGAGCATGGCATAAATAACAAGCCACTGAAAGCTGCATGTACATTTTTTTTTAGCTCAGTGTATCATCACTCATTACCGCGGGAAAACAACTGGCCATTTTGCATAATTTCAAATAAAAACCTTTCTATTCGATGCATCATCTATTGGTAATTAAATTCTGATTTAGTTTTCAGTCTCGTGAACATTATACAGTATGAATATTCTTATATCAAATCAACATAAGATGCTTCGAGTAAAATCACAACTTTTGCACCTGATATTAATTTTCTTATATATGAGTTAATATGCTCTTCCTTTCCAGTTTTATGTATTTATGTGAACTACACTCTTCTAAAATTTAATGTTTGAAGCTATTCCATTGAACGAAAACCACCAAAAAGATTAAACCGATTCGAAGTTAAACCGATTCAAGAAAAACCTGTTCGAATTTGCTGATTTTTAGTCTAATTTCGAGCGAATAAAATGAGCGAGCAGGCCTGTTTTTGTTTGTTAAAATCAGTTACCACAAACAATCATAAGAATGGGTCAATTCAATTGATATATCAATTAAAACAAAACTTCAAAAAAACACGCTTCAAATTTTTGAGTTTTGGTCTAATTTCGAGCATGTAAAGCCAGCGAGTGCGTCTAATGAAACAAGAATTTATCTTTTAATCAGTAAAAAAACACTTAGTTTTACTCCATGAATTCGAAAAAAAATAGAAAACGATTTCAAAATTCATTTTGCTAAGCGAAACTACGCTCTCCCATGGCAAATGTGAACATAGCATTAAATTAAACATATTTTTTGAGAAGTTCCAGACAAGAAAACTTTCAATCACTGTTTCTTGAAAATGAGGCAGCGTTAATATGATTTTAGTAGTCGATGCTTAGACTTTCAGAAATTTTCTAAAGTAACGAATTAAAATTGAAGCAATTGAGAATTATCAAAAATTAGAAATAAAAGAAACTGAGAAACTAGCGAAACAAGCTATGCGCAAAAATGAAACTGCTATTATATATGATTTAAGTTCTGACCATTGACCATTTGGATTCGTGTGCTTTAGTTTTTTTTGTTTTCCACGCAACATCAGGTACAAATAATCACCTGAATAGGCCGAGTGCTAAACTAAACTAAAGCATTTTCAGTCGTGATTCGAACATTAAAAACTTCCAAAAAACTTTCCCAGTGTCGAAAACTGGTTTAAAATTTCTGATTTTTAGCACAATTTTGATCAAGTAAAGCGATCGAGTTACGACCTTTATATAACTATTTTTTTAATTTAGACTTTAAAACTAAAAACATTTAATTATACTATATAAAAACTAGTTTTGGCTGTATCATTTGGAGCGTTCTTGGAAATAAAGGCTTTATATAACAAATTTTGTGCAAAAAATTAGAAAAATGTTTCAAAATTTTATCTTCTTGTTTGTCATTAATTTTTTGCAGAGAAATTTTGCCGATTATGTCTAAATCAATTTTTTCTACCCGTTTGATTAGTTCTCGTATCGCACCACTCACTAAATATGACACTATAATGAAGAAAAAAAAACAGTTTTTATTTTTTTTATGAAAATGGTCGAAACATTCTGTGCTTCTGGCTGTACCAATATGTTAGCAAAATCTGCAATTTTTTTAAGACATTTCGAGCGTTCAAAATTAAAGGTTTCTAATGAGAACACGAAACGGCCACCCTTGAATTAACTAAAACAAGAAAAACATTAAATCAGAAAATAACATGAACTAACTTACGCTGCAAAAAGAATTTTCAAAAACAAAATTTAAAACAAAACCTACTTAAACAGCTAACAAGGAAAGCTGAGGACTAGAACTTTCCCTGATATGAGACGCCAACTGTTTCGTTGTTCCAAGCAACTTGTATTCGTTTTTATTTACGCAAAATCAGGTACTACAACAAAACGTCGTACGAAGCTAAATAAAATAACACTTTGCAGCCCTTAGTAATTATTCGAGCGCATTACCACGTTATTACACACTTCCAGAAAGCATTCTTGTTGTCGAGAAAGTTGAATTGATTTTTTTTTTCATTTAAATTATATCACACTTATTTAATGGCGCCAATTAAGCCAATTAAAGTAAGTAAACCTAAAACAAGATTTTTTCATCTGTTGATTGAGCTCAAAAATTATTCACTAAATTGTTATTCTAACGCTTCCATTTCCCTGCCAAAACGACTGAAAACGGGAAAACCAAAATGAAAATCAATTTTTACTACAAACTCTAACGTTTCTCATGTATAAAGATATTTTTGGCAAGAACTATTTATTTTAGTTGCACTGCAACAAGATACAAAAAACAAAAAAAACTTCAAAAAAACTTTTTGAAAATATTGAGGATAGGGAAAATTTAACTTTTTGATATCCGAACAAAGACTTCGTAGAATAACAGATCGGTTCTTGTACCAAAAAAAATGATTTATTTGCAATTAGCAATTTTATAATGCTTTCAATGAAATTGAAACTGATTAAATAGAGCGATCGTTATGTCATGTAAGTCAAATATTTTAACATTAAAGTTGCATCAATTGTTTTCGTTGGATGAACTAAGTTGGTAATGAGTTTGAATAAGGAGCCGTTGACCGGCACTCCCAACTCCAGTATCAGGGAAACTTTCTCTTCTAAGAATATATTAGATTCGAATTCATCGATTAATTAATTGTCAATCAACGCAGCGAAGACATTTATATAGGTCATATTCAATTTCGCGGATGGACTTTTGATGGCTTTTAGTTCAAATCAAATTCAATTGCTATAGGGAAAGCAAATTAGGCTACACAATTATGAATTTACAAAGGGTTTGAAAAAAGCGAATGACATTCCAAATTTTTAATTTTCGGTGGCATAAAATATATATCTATTGATCTAATTTTTAAAATTAAAGCTACAACTATAAAAGATTCTAGGACCTCAAACAGTTTTGACGTGACATGTTATTTTTTAAACTCGAAAATTGATTTAAAAAAACAACAACCTGTTTTTTGGCCTCCTTGAGATCATTCATTCACACTTTATTCACTCTTTACACTCATGTAAAGCAGCACAGCTTCGCACATCATAATTGACAGAATGGAACAAAAGTAGTTTTTAAAACTTATTCATTCCGGAAATTTTTCCGTTTGCTTAGGCGTTACGATAAAATGACGTTTTTTCTATCATTTCTGCCTTCCGAAAAAAAATAATTTTATTTTTTTTTGCTCCAAGCTGAATATGTCTAATCCTTTCAATTCTTTTCGGTTTTGCTGCTTATCACATTGAGACAATGCAAAAATACCTTCAATTTGTCTCAAAAGCAATTTATTCAATTTTTTTTGGACACTGCTTTGAAAAAAGGGTTGTCTCAAAAGTCAGCCTTGGGGTAGTAGAAGACAGTTGTTATGCGTGACTTAGGAAGCCTATCTCAAAGCACGTCTACTTAATATGCACGATTTAATAACAAATTGGCTTTTACGTTCCATCTAACCAAACCAGACTGATATATGATAATTGCGATGGTCTCTCTTTAACCCCGGAACTTCAGGCCTTGAAGTTTTTTAAAGGGTAGCCAGCCTCACATACAAATGTATTTGTTTTCCACGAGTTGGTTGAAGTCAATGAAGAAAAATCAATGTCGTAGCTTTACTTATAAGTTTACTTTTAACTTCATCATCTTTTAACTTCATCAACAATATCGACCGAAACTTCAACTTTTTTTACTTCTCTCATTTTAACAACAATATCGACCGAAGCATATAACCGATTTCAATATAGATATCTATTTTAGCTTATATGAACCCAATTCAGATGCAGCTTTTCTAGCTTTGATTATTTTTATAACTTGACCCTGGTGCTATGTTTATCAGATTGGAAGCCAATACAGACCATCTGAGTTTTTGGGTAAAAATGTAGGGTGGTGTTGGTAATTTCTTCAGGCTAGCCAACGGGGTTCTGACCATTTTGACCCAGGACTCATTGATTAAACTGTCGGCAATTACCCAACTTCAAAGTCCCAAAAAAATTTTGTAATCAACCGTATCAAAGATAAAGACTCTTTGTTAAATTAAACTCTGCTCTTTTTAGTTAGATTAAATTTTGAAGCTCTAATTTATTAGCTGATGTATTTAAAATTTACGCGTGTCTACATTCAGTTTGCTTCTGACTGACATATTTATTTTTCTCTGAGAATTGCAATTTGTCAACGTCATTTCCTTTTATTTACAATTTTAGTTGTCTCGGTGAAAAAGCATAAATT